GTGAGGTTAATGACTGAGAGAGGTCGAGGGTCTGATTGTCAGGTTAATGGCTGGGAGAGGCCGAGGGGATGGTTGTGAGGATTATATATTATGGATCAGGTTCCACGCCGCAGCAATATATATGTATATGTATATGGATCGGGTTGCACACTGCAGTGATATATGGATCGGGCTACACGCCACAGCGATATGTCGGATCGGGTTGTGCGCCGCAGCGATATAACGCTTGGGCTGTAGGAACCCCTCCGGATTCTGCACACCCCCAGTGAGCACAATCGACTATATATATGGATCGGGCTGCACGCCGCAGCGATATGGATTGGATTGCACACCGTAGCGATTATTATAAGATACCTATTGAGTGTGAGTGTTGAGTGTGGGTGCTGATTGATGAGAGTACAGTCATGAGTGCCTGAGAGGCTTGCCCGAGGGGCTATATATACATACATACGTGTGATGTTTTGTCTGAGGGGCTTGTATTGTGAAATTGTTGTTTTCACTCCTCCTTAAAGTGAGTCTCTATTGAATATGCTGATTAAATTACTGATTTCACTCATCTTTATGGTGAGCCTCTATTAAAAATGTTAAACAAATATTTTAAACAACTTTTGTTTAAACTGGAGTTTTACGAGATGTTCGGAATTTAATTACTGATTGAGTTTTGTTATTTCCACTGAGATTTTAAAGTTATGAGATGTTTATGAATTCCTGTTTGCCGAGGAACTGTAAACGAACTATGTTTTTGCTCGAGGGGCCGATTATGATTTTCATCACTTTCATTATAAATTACATTGAACCTCTACTGAAACGACTAGAAAGACATTTTTCAAAGAATTTTACGGAAATTGGAATTTAACGAGATGATTTGATTTATATCCTATTTTGGAAACATACTGTACCCACTATGGTGTTATGACGTAGTTTACGTGATTTCTTACCGCTCAATCTTTATTTACTTTTATTACTTACTGAGTTAGCGTACTCACATTACTCCCTGTATCTTGTGTGCAGATCCAAGTATTTTTGAGCTTGGTGGCAGGTTTATCGGAGTTAGCAAGGTAGTTGCCTGGCGATCGCAGCCCTGCTTTTCTCCCTCTTCATTCTCCCTTAGTGTACTTTGTGATTTTCCCCGACCATGTTGGTCTTGAGGTTGTCAAACAGTTGTAGTAGATGCTCATTGTCACGCCCCGAACCTGGGGAGGCATGGCTGGCACCCGGTGTCGTAGTGGCCCGAGCGAACCACTCTGTAACTCATTCATTCCTTTTTATAACTATCGTGGGCCAACATAGCCACAACTCATAAAAATAAAATTGTAAGTGAAAAGTACTGTATCACTGAACCATTGTTTCTTAAAATATGAATATATATGGGCCGTCAAGGCCTTTGACATACTGTACAAACTGAACCTCTGTCTACAAAGTCTCTAGGATTATTCAATATCAAATGGGACAGGGTACTGACATACCCATAAGTCTATAGAAAAAAACTCTGACACGATGACTCATAGACACGGCTACACTCCGAATGAGGAGGAGTCTTACCGATCCTTTGCTGAATGCAAACCTCGTCTACTGTGAGGTCTCGTCAAACTGATTGTCTATACCTGTAAGTCTGGATGACTCTATAAATCATGAAATACTTCTAGTGTCATGCATATGCGTATGAATGTCATATAATGCATAGGTCTGTATGTACATAACATTATAAAGCCTCTGAGATCATCCCATCATATCATCTCAGCCACTGTGGGCAAAATCATCATCGTATACCAGCTGATCAGATGGTGGTTGATAAGTTAGGATTTTAAAGTATTTATGTCCCTACTTGCCTATGCTTTGAGTATAAATTGATACAAAAACAGTCCCAAAATGCTCATAAGTTATGATTGATTGCAAGGTTGATTGACAAATGTGACGAAATGTCAAAGATCGACTAAAAAAGGAGTGAAACCTGCTCAAGTATCAAAGACCAAAAGAAGTGAAGAAAAAGGGGCCTAGTGCAGACCGCGTAACAATGACCGCGACCGCACTAGGAGGTTCAGAGACTGGACATTTTCAAGCTTAAGGTCACGCAGCCGCGGTAGGATTCACGCGGCCCGCGGAGAAGCTTCGCGGACGCACTCCTGCTCTATGCGGTTCGCGTTCATAGGGTTCAGCAAATGGTATTTGTCCTCACGCAGTTCGCGGTCACGTCTGCGCGGACCGCGCCAGTTGCCTTCGCGACCGCGGTACACTCCCACGCGGTCCGCATCCCCTAGTTCAAGTCATCAACCAACTGAAGCCCAAGAGCCAGTGCGGCCGCAGTCCATTTTGTGCGGCCCGCACTGACCCCACAGGGGTATTTTTGTCCAGCTTTTCCAGCCTAGTATAAATAGAACATTTTACTATTTCTTTTAAGGGACCGGTCAGATCTGAGAACCGAAGAATAGCTGCGCTTGGTGTTGTAGCCATTTTTGGCATATTTGCTTTCCATTAACAATAGATTATTGTAGTTTCTTCTTAGTAATTAATTAATATGTGTAGTTCTTCATCTATTTCTTCAGTTTCTTCTTTAATTATGTGTAGCTAAATCCATTAGCTAGGGTTGTGGCTCAACTCTAGTGTGGATAATTGATGGGTATTGTCATCTAGGGTTAGATTGACTATGGGTGTTTGTTATTTGGGTTGATTTTATTATTTAATTTAGAATTGGTGGTTGCAAACACTGATTCAAGCTTTGTGGGTTTAACTCTTTTTGAGAAAGAGAGTCTATGACCTCAAAATTGTCCCAACAAGGAATTCGGATGGACTTATGAGAAATGATAGTACCAATTAACGGGTTAAATCTCGAGAGAGTAATCACCTTACTTGAACCCTAGTTGCTTGGTCTAATTTGCCAACCCAATTGGTCTCGAGAGAGTCAATTGTGCAAAATCACTCTCTCTACCGAGAGGTGTGAGAGTGGGTAAAATTGTGCAACGGTTATAGCATAAGCCCCAAATAAGTCAATCGAACCTAAGTAACATCTACCCGTCAATTAGCCACCAAGGTAATGCCACGACCCTAGTGCTCTTCCTTCCCAATAATTACAACTTAGCAATATTCTCCTAGCATAATCTAGCTTTAATCCGTAGTTTTATAATAGTAGTTATAAATACAAAAACTCAAAAGATGCTTGAAGTGACATTAGAAGCACAACCGCAACTCTAGGCTAGACAGAAAATACAACTCCACTACTAGCTCCCTGTGGAAATTCGATCCCGGACCTTTATTCGGGTAAAAGCTATTGCGATCCGCTCTTCCTACCATAGTGTAGAGTCGAGTCGGCAACGATCAGTGGTGCGTATATAACGCCATAACCTTTCCCATATATATATATATACATACACTTATATATACGCGTATATAACGCCATAACATCATCACACATTTGAGGGCGTCCATCATATCATCTCGGTCACTGTGGGCGAATCATCAAGGTGTACCAGCTGATCAGGTGGTGGTGCGTATATAACGCCATAACTTTTTCCCATATTCCATATACATATATATACATATATACGCGTATATAACGCCATCTGAGTCATGGGTCAATGCACATGAATAAAATGCATGAAAAATACGTAATAATCTCAATATTCCTTCATATATATATATATACTTATATATATGCGTATATAACGCCATAACATCATCACACATCTGAGGGCGTCCCATCATATCATCTCGGTCACTGTGGGCGAATCATCAAGGTGTGCCAGCTGATCAGGTGGTGGTGCGTATATAATGCCATAATCTTTTCCCATATTTCATATACGTATATATACATATACGCCGTCTGAGTCATGACCAATGCACATGAATGAAATGCATGAAAAATACGTAATAATCTCAATATTTCTTCCGGATAAACTTTTTCAACTGCGTATTATTCTGAGTCCCATGAACAAAAAATAATAATAATTTTCATGGGGAATCAAGAATATAGACACCCCTAATAATTCTATGAATAGAGTTATTTATGAAAGTTGCCTATTGTCATAATAGAATATACATATATAACAGCTGACAACCTATTCTCTCTAGCCTAGTGTTAACGTTACTCCACAAACTGTAAACATTAATTCTCAAAAGAAGATTATGCATCAAGTATCCTGTATACAAAAGTGTATTTAGGTGATACGGCAAATAATGTCAAATTGACGTTTAAGTTATTAGTATCAACCAAGTACTGATACCCTCAATTTAGGAGAGAAATTTACCTTCAAAAGTAACATACTTGCTGATACAAATGCACCTTCATAGGCAATATAGGCATTACACATATCAACAATAAAATGAAACCATAAATGACAAGTAAAGCTGCTCATTCAATCCACTACAAGAAAACGGAGATTTAGAGAGGGAACATTTGGTCGTTAAAAGTCCAATTCGGGTCGTTATAAGTTATTAACGACCGGAAAAAATTCGGCCGTCACCGATCGTTAAAGGTCCTGACGTTAAAAGTTAACGACCGATTTACAATCTGTTCGTTAAAGGATCTTTAGCAACGGCATAACTGTTGGTCGTTAAATATGTGTTTTAGCGACAGAATTTTCCCTTCGCTAATTTGTTATCCGGTCGTTAAAAGTCTTTAACGACAACAATGTATTAAGTCAATACAAGTTCTTTTAGCGACCGATATTCCCTTCGTTAATTGTATAATTATTTTTAACAACAAAAAATCTCTTCGTTAATAGTCATTTATCTATTTGAGAAACATGTCGTTAAAGAGTTTTAATGACCACATTTTTCTTTACTAATATGAAAATGTAATAAATATAATAAAAATTTAAATTACGTGAGTAGTAATAATTATTTATATGCTTTCATACACGCTCAACAACACTGGAAATAAACCAAATACTTGATATCTTGTTAATACAAAAAACTANATATGAAAATGTAATAAATATAATAAAAATTTAAATTACGTGAATAGTAATAATTATTTATATGCTTTCATACACGCTCAACAACACTGGAAAATAAACCAAATACTTGATATCTTGTTAATACAAAGAACTAAAGTATCATATTTGAAAGCAGTACAAATAAAATCACATAAAGGATGTACTAGTAGTTTACAATAGGTCAAAGGGGAACAAATTAAGATAGATCATCTTCCTCGAGCTCCTTAGCCTTCAATGTTTCCTTCACTCTTCGAAGAAGTGTTGTCCTCCAAGCATCCTGTGGAGTGAAGATATTTAAGTAGATTGTAGAAAATCGGTGTAAAATTACAACATAGTAATATTTGCTCAAGTCAATTAAGCATCCAAATATAAATCCACGAAGCAGTGATAAAAAAAAGAATTAAAGAAGATACAACAATATGCTAACTGGCAAACTGTACAATTTCTCTTTCCCAGCTAACCAGCTTCCCTATGATCTAGCTTTCCTTTTTGTTAAGGGGACAATTTATTTTCAATCTAGCAAAGGAATCCACAGCTGTGTAGCTCAGACTAAAACTAAAAGCTATACCTAAAGTCAGAGAAAACTTCAAACAAGAGTTGAAAATCAAATCATCAAAAAAGTTTTCCAAGAAAAAGCACTCAACTCCAATTGCTTGTAATTTTGTAATTATAATATCTTTATGTGATCAACTTTTAAAAGGCTCAATAAATGTCTTGCCAAATTGTACTTGAATGCCTATAAAAAGGCCAGCCCCTCCTCATTTCAGTCATATAATTCTAAACCAAGAAACCATCTGCCATATATTTTCTTCTCAAGAAAACATGAAGATTTTCAAATTTGTTTTCATTGCCATTCTCCTCATACAGGTAGTTTTCAGATTGGTATAATTAACATATGCACTTTTGTTTAGTTGTGATGCTACTAATATAGTTTTAAGCAGCTCTACTTCATATTGTCTTAACAACTTTACTGGTTGCACATGAATCTTCGACGTCTTCTTTCACATTTCACAACTTAAAAAACCAAAGAGGGAAAAAATGAGAGTTCGAATAAATGAATTCCAGAAAATCATTTAAGAGGTCATTGCCAATAGCATTTGCATCAATAAGACACCAAAGTAGAATCCAAGAGACAAATTATTTCGAGAAATGGCATAATTAAAATGCAATTGATAGACCTTGGTTGTAAGAATATTTAACAAAATGATTCACTGTTTCAATAAACCTGAGATAAGGCAATCAACAACACAAACAACTACCACAATTTGGTACTTATCTAGTTATTATCATTTGTAATTGGAAAGAGAACTTGTAGAGTTTAATACCCAGTTCGGATTTCTTTAAAAAAAGATGCAACATCAATAAAACAGTAGATATATTACTTATAAACTAGTAGATTGCTTCTAGGAATCGACCAAAACTTAAACGTTATTGTGGCACAATCTACTGCACAATCTACTAAACCTAATGAACTATTGGAACACTGTGTAGATGAGTGATAATCAACAGAAAATTCCTATCAAATCCAAATATCCTAGAGACATCCCTGCTTCTACAACCTTGGCAACGATCTACAAGGATGTGAGATCAGCTTTACAAAATCACACAAACTTCCAGAGACATCCCTCTTTCTTACACAATATTCTTGCCTTAAATAGAGATCTTTGGAGTTGCAATAAATAGCACTCCCTCTGTTTCAATTTATGTGAACCTATTTCCTTTTTAGTCCGTGCAAAAAAGAATGACCCCTTTCCCTATTTGGAAATAATTTACCTTTATGTAATGATTTATAGCCACACAAAATATATGTGCCTCATTTTACACCACAAGTTTAAAAGTCTTCTATCTTTTCTTAAACTTCGTGCCCAGTCAAATGGGTTCACATGAATTGAAACAGAAGGAGTAATATTGTATAACAGATTAAGTGAAAAAAATTAAGAAAGCCCTAAGCCTATACAACAACAACAACAAACCTAGTGTAATCCCACAAGTGGGGTCTGGGGAGGGTAATGTGTACGCAGACCTTACCCCAACCTTGTGAAGGTAGAAAAGCTGTTTCCGATAGACCCTCAGCTCAAGATTTCTAAACATTTGAATTCTAACAAATAAATTTACTTATTTTCTAAAGCATGTATGTGTTCCTAGAAAAGGAACAACAAGCAGAAGCACTAGAAGAGCTAAATATCATTGTTTCATAAGTAAGTCATTGTAACTAAAAAATATAGCCACTCTAATCAAAATTATACAAAGTAGAGTAATAGTCTATTTATGCAAGTTCGGTAAACAACACGGATAAAAGAGGATGGTTGCAATAGGTTGACGACCAGCATAAAGTTATTCAATTTATGATGAATCTTCACGATATAAAATGGCTCAACTTGCTTGAGATCGAGGCATAGTTGTTTGTGTATGAAAGTTCAGTTGGCTCTCACTTAAACCATTAGAATGAATGACTATTCAGGTGAAAGGAGGACATAAATAATGGCAGGTAGAAGGACTTGCATATGAAACTACTCATAGATATAGCAAATTCTGTGGTCTTTCTACAAGTATTGGGGTTTTAGGATGCACAAGAATGAGAAAAGGAAAGTAATGCTACTCATACCAATTCTTGGCGAAGTTTGTTGCTGTGATGTAGAAAAGCAGCTTTCTCCTCCGTCAATCTGTAAATAACTGATTTTGCCTGAAAAGATACGTCTAGATTAATCATGTTGATGCGGAACTGTAAGGTAAGGAAGCTGGCCAAGATCTCCTTTCAAACATGCTTAAAACAAACAAACTAACTACAACAAGCATGAAACGTTTGAAGGATCTAAGAGTAGCTGCAAATGCGTACGCAGAAAAAGCCATTAGAAAACAGTTTAGGGGATAAGAACAGATCAAACCTCTCTTTAGATTGCTACTAAATACCGATTTAATATAACTAGCGAGCATCTTATGTGAATTAGGATGACAAGACAACTATGCTCGGACTAAGAGAATGAGGAGAGGATTGGAGAACTAATCACGAAGAGAATGGTGTTCCGTTAATTTGATCAACTAGATATCAAGATAAAGCCTGCAGCAAAACTCAACACTAGAAGAAAGAAACTTGATATATTTCATAAAAATTAAAGATTCTAATATAGGGTGAAATTCCAGTATAACAAACTTTTTACCTAGTTAAAGGGTAATCTCTGATCAGAAAACCAAATATTTCTGGCGTATGTCTATGCCAAATGATTAATAATCACTCAGAGAAAGATCGTCAAAACAAACTTGAATAACAAATACCAAACCAGCAGTTTGTAACTCAATGTCATCCAAATAGAGATTAGAAGTTTAGCTCCAACAGTATTTTCAGGAGAACTTTTTTGGGATGCTACTGGTCCCGATAATAAAGATTGTAAGTTTGTTGATAACATGTCATAGATACTACAATGAACTCGAGTTATTTTCAGTATATGTCACTACATCCTAACGTATTTACACCACTTCTCTAGATAACATATGTTATGATATCATTAGGTCATTCAAAAACATCTCAAAGACACAAGAAACCGTGGTAGATTATGTCATCTTTAGACACCTCCAACAACATGAATGCGCCTGCTAAGGGAATGATGATTCACAAATAGTCAAATAATACAAATTAGTGACAATGAATATGTCTCATAAGCACTAGATATCAACAAATAATAACATGCATAAATGCACACATGTATAGAATACATAGAAAATTTGACATTCCACAAAATAATGGTACACAATATATTATTGACTATCATTAGGACATAAGTAAACAAAGACACACACATATGTTATTGACTTTAATGGGATGTAAATGTATGGTACAATATGGAATTATAATAGAAATTTGACCTCTGAAGATTTATCATGAGTTTCAAGGAATATTCTTGTGAGCTCAAAACCATTTTAACTCTACACATTTCCAAATTAAAGTAGGTTAAACAATGTTTAAGCAATTAGTTAAACTGAATTATTTCAATTTTTGTTAAGTTACATCATCCTCACTGCGCCTCTTGGATTCATTTTCAGCGTGAGAGACATATAAGCCAATAGTTCACTATCCTTAGTATACTGATGGTTAAACAAGTACACAAATCAGCATAACAAATAAGTGCACATAGGCTAAAACAGATAGATCAAGTACTAGCTCTGCTAATAAATATATACTCAATCAGATTACCAATTGAGCTTCCAAAAGTGATCAAGCTAATGCTGCTGCACTTAAAATGGTTGAAAAACCATCAGTTGTTAAACCTACTGCTGCACTTGAAGTTAAAAAAACAGCAGGTTTGAAACCTAGTGCTGTGCATATTCAGGGGCAAGGTGTTGAAGGTGTGAAAGATTTGGATAGTGCAATTGATGTAGGTGTTCATGCAAAGGAAATAGCTGGGCAGTCACAACATATTACAGATGATCAAGCACAAGATAGAGTACAAGTAGGAAAGTTCCAACACAATCTGCTGCACAATCTACTAAACCTAATGACAACCCTATAGTTATACAACAACTAAAAATTATCAACTTCGATTTTAGGAGGACCGATATTTCGACAGTTATACTTGGCACTCAGTGAAACTGATAGTACGAAATTGACATTGAGAATAAACTGTTAGAGAAGATTATCTAATCTTGATAGGAGATATAGCAGTTGCTCATTCAGAACAGATATTGCTCAACAGATTCCTTTTCTAGAAAAATAATTACTCAATTTACATAGAAAAGAGTAAAATTTTGAACCTTATCGTGATGAGAAGAACCTCAAAGATTAGCCGTTGTTATCAATGGAGGTGACGGGCAACTTCAATTCGTTCGCTAATTCGCTCTGCTAATTCCGTTCAAACCGAGGTTTACTAACTGTTAGAAAAGTTTGGGGCTTATTAAGTTTATACAATTGAACTGTTTAATTCGATGGGGCTTTTTCCTTTTTTTTGAGGGGCGAGGGGGTGGGAGATTTGGCAGAATCTAGGTTAGGGAAAAAAAGTGAAAAAAGTTAGCGCCACTTTTTTCACTTTTTCATTACTTAATAATTATTTAAGTACCGGTTGTGTTATATTATAACGGCCGAATATCATCCCCTAGCAAAAAATTACTTTTAACGATCGAAAAAAAGTTACTTTTAATGATCGAAAAAACATTTGGTTGCTATAAATATACTTATAACGACCGGTTTTATGTCCCTTCATTAAGAAATGAGATTTTATGTCCCTTCGTTAAGAAATGATAGTTAAAAATCAAATTTCTTGTAGTGATCCTCATGCACATAATCAACTCATTCAATTGTATTTTATATCTACATAGTCATCTTGCTTCTGTCCAGGGTACGTACTTTGAGCAGGAAAAGTGCAATGAGATAGAAGTAGCACAATTCTCCTAATGAATTAACGTAAGAATACCTTGAAATAAATAACTTACTGCTTTTTTGTAATTTTTCGTGGTTACGAAGTCCTGGCTATGAGTTTGCTTGTCAACTTTATCTACCACAGCTATTTTTGTTTCTCCTCCATGTTGAAAGATGTAAAGCAATAAGTTGCTTTTGCTTTTTAGCTTCAAGAATTCTTAATTTGTAGTCGTTCTACACCGCCACCCAAGACATACCAGATCAGTTCTATTTTAAAAAAAGCATCTTGTCCCAGAGCAGCAAATATCTGGAGTTTTTCTTCTAGGTTGCTTAATCACAATTATCCAGACTCATTTAATCTTATATTTAACATATCCAAATCTCACAAAGTCTGTGGAGTAAGTCTGACAAGGAGAAAAGCTCACTCCAATCTTTACAATGAATCAGTCACATAGCTTTTGAAGCAATTATAGAGTATTCATTCTAAATCAATCCCAAGAAGGCGAAGATTTTTTCCAAAATAAAGCTGGAAAAAACCAATATAGGACTTATTTAGGAATCCTCAATTCAAGATATTGGTCAAACACCATGTAAAATAAAATGAATCCTTAAAGTTGTGAAAAACAAATCCAAGGATAAGAAAGAGGAAGACTTTACATACTTTACTGCCACCTAATACCAAATTACCTTAGTCATTGTTTGGTTAGCCCCCTTGCTACCACGTGGGGTAGGGTGGAAAATTGTAAACCTTTCTCCGTTTGTTAGGTAATTAGGTAATGTCCCGTTACCTAATTAGCCGATAATTAGCCAATTACCCATGCAATTAAGAATTATCTTAAATTACTTAAAATTCTACTTATTTTTAATATACTTTATACATCATACTATCACGGTCCTATGGTACCTTGTATGGTACTAGTCTATAAATACCGAGTATTATGACTCGGACCGTATTTAATCCTAAATTGACAACCTTCAAAGAAACTTATTTTCTTCTAACTCATTTACCCTATCATCTTGAAGTACTACTATTACAATATTAAAATAATAAATCGTGGTACCATATAAAATCAATACATATACTATTATTTGTTAAAACATCCATGTAAAAAAAAATATATATATATTTTCTCAACTTTTAATTTTGCTAATCTCGTATAAAGAGTACAAATTCTCGTACGCTTAATTCTTAAATTGGTAAAAAAAATAACCTTCGTTTCTTGTGAGAAAATAATTTCTATCTTTATAATAAAGAAAATATCGTAAACTTTCTTATATTATGTGTATAATTTACCATATTCGAAAATAAAAATAATAATAACTATCCAAAATTATACTTATAAAACTTTTACTAAAATACTTCACTTAAAAGAAAATACCACACTAACATAATATCTAATGATATCAAGGTTGTAAACTTACAAGGTATCATAATAATAATGTCTTAAACCCTCTATAACCTCATACTAGACATAATCCCTTTGAACTCATGTGGATTTACTACGGCGCATCCTAATGCTAAGGTATGGGATGTAACACTCATGACTAGTGACACCCCGATGTTGGGCTTTCTTTTCGCGCTGTTGTTTGTTTTAAACTCTAAATAAAGGTTTTTTGTTAAATAGATTTGGTTTTATCCTAATAATTGTAAATACTGATTGGTTTTGGGTTTGTGTCAGCTGGCCTAGTTCCATGATAAACGCCATCACGACCGGGTTAGTTTTGGGGTCGTGACAAGTTGGTATCAGAGCCTAGGTTACATAGGTCTCACGAGTCATAAGCAGATTTAGTAGAGTCTCGCGGATTGATACCGAGACGTCTGTACTTATCCTCGGGAGGTTGCATGTCACGACCCAATTCCCAAACCCGGTCGTGATGGCGCCTCTCATGAAGACAAGGCCAGCCAGACCAAAACGGGACACGTCTTTAAGCAGTTAATTATCATAAATATTAATAAACATAATATAATATCCATAGGTTGCGAAAACTTTAATGATAACAACAGTGGAAACCATCCCGACACAGCCCAAACCGGGGTGTCACAAGTCATGAGCTATTACAGAATCTGCTATAGGTATGCAAAGTACGAAATCCGATACAACAGTCTGAAGAAAACATAAATGATAGAGGATAAGAGAGACAAGGGGCTGCAGACGTCAACAACTACCTCGTAATCCCAAATCACCGCCTAGCCTGGACGGAATCAACCGCTCAGCTACGGACTCTGCTATGCCTGAATCTGTACACACGGTACAAGGAGTAATGTGAGTACTCCGACTCAGTGGGTAATAATTATAAATAATGGCTGAAAGTATGAAAACACGTAAAGGCACAAAGCAATTCCATATCAAGCAGTGAAAATCACTTAAAGCAGTAAATCAGTGAAGAAATCAAATGATATTCCTTTT